AACCTGCAGAGGCTCTATGATCGTTGGAATTCAACTTTTTCTGAATTTATATTTTCAGTTTGTACTTTTTTTTTTTTTTTTTTTTTTTTTTTTACATTTTTGCTACAGGGTTCATGCGCTCGCCAGAGACTGAGACGGTGAGAGAGAAAGTAAGAAATCACCCCCCAAAGAGAATGGCCATGCCTCGATCCCTTCTCTTCCATTCTCCTCTTAGGATTTTGGGCATGCACTCATGCATACACACTCACGCCTGGTGTGATTTTCAAGCTGCTGGGTCCAGGACTCGAACTGTAGTCAGTTATGTGGGAATCCATGGCCTTAACCACCACACCACTTACTGGACCCTCTTCTTTTGGTTTTAAGTGTGGTGACAAATGTAAAAGGGCTGGCTGATTTTTTCCTACTTATGACTTCATTGGAGATCTTGTTCACTCTGAAAACAAAAATCAAAAAATCCAAAACTGAAACCAAGACAGGTACAAAGGGAGAGTATTAAAATATAGCTGGGCTGGCCTCATGACCTGGTGGGTAATAGAGCTGGACCTCGCATGGCTGACTGCAGTTTGAATCCCAGCCCAGGCAGCTTGAAAGACACGCTGCGCACGTGGGCATGTGTGCCCCCAATCCCAGCAAGATGGAGAAATGGAGAAGGGGTTGGAACAAGACCGCCCCCCCATTGGGAGGGTGCTTTCTCCCTTTCCCTTTCTTTCTCTGCCTATCTCTGATAAGCACACGTGCCCTCTGGTAATTAAAAACAAAAAAGCAGCATGAAGACTGAAACAGTTTTGAGAGGGTAAGATTTCCATCCCAAGATAGTATTTTCTGCAGCAAGCAATAGAATGTCCGAAGGAAGGGGAAATTCTCCCCTCACCAGGAGCTTCCTGTTATTCTGGACGTGCACCAGCAGGGTGGGGACAAAGTTATGCATATGTTTACCCACTTCCCAACTTGCTCTTAGAGCGTTCGACAGTTATGTCTCTCTCGTTCTGCCGCTCCCTAGATCAGTTCTCAGCTGGGGTGATTTTGTGCCCCAGGAGACATCCGGCAATGTCCGGAGGCATTTTTGCTTATCACTCGTGATGGGTGATCATGTGCTGGTGGCCTCTGGTGGGTAGAAGCCAGGGATGCTGCTCAGCATTCTACAATGCACAAAACAGGACCCCTGCCCCCCAAAGGAATGAGCCAGTCCGAAATGCCAGTAGTGGCAAGGTTGAGAACCCCTGGTCCAGACTTGAGGGCCTGTTAGATGGCGGAGTTGGAAAGAGGGCAGAAGTAGGAGAAGCTAGTGGCAGTCTCTTACTGGGTGGTTCCTGCTGTCTTTAGTCACTGCTGTCAGGTCCCTCTGTTTAGAGGGGAGCATGAGGGGAAACTATCGTCATCACAGCTCCCATTTATTGTCTAATATTTGCTATGTGCCAGGATCATTTCATTTGATTTTACAGTAAGCCCTACAGAATACTCGCCCTCAGTTCTGTACACATTAAATCTAGTACATTGCCTGGCACGTGGTAGGCCCCCAACATCTTGGATAAATAGAGTAATTATAGCCATTATTTTTTCTTTTAATTTGCCAGAGGGCACATGTGTTCACCAGAGACAGAGAGAGATAGAGAGAGAAAGTACCCCTCCATGGTTCATGATCATACCACAATCCCTTCTCCTACGTTTCTCCGTCTTTTCAGGAGTTTTGGCATGCACACATGCACACACACACCCACCATGTTTTACAAACTGCCGGGTCTGGGACTGGAACCACATGCTCAGTGTGTGGGATCCAGTTGCTTTAACCACCAGGCTACAGGCTGGCCCAAATTATATCCATTTAATTCATGAGAAAAACACCAGGCTTGAAGGGTTCACACAAGTAGTCTAAGTACCAGAGTCAGAATTTGAACTGAATTCTGTTAGCTCCAACACTAAATCACTTGCCCACTGAATCATATCCTTCCCTTGCAGAACCACAGTGGTTTTCTGGCATCTAAAAGCCCAAGTGAGCAACTGAGGGAGGAGAGGTTTTTAAAGACAAGATTGAAAAAGTTACTTGTCCTGATGGAAGCTGAGGTGAAAGGAAGATTTTTTTTTTTTCATAACTTTATTTGAAAACCAGCAGTTAGTTCTCATCCACATTGACTGAGTGTAGAGCTTGTTGAGTGAATCTTCATCCTCATTTCCTTTTCTGGACAACCGCAAGGGATTCCATATAAGACGTGCCTTATTCCTCTGGGCCAGCCAGGTTGGTTGAGTCTGGTATCAATGCGCACATCTGGAGTCCCTGTCTCCTTCAAGGCAAATTTCTGATCTCCTTGAGAGCCCAGAGGCACGTTTCCTGATGTTGGTGGAGTGTTCCGGGGCACCACCTCGGTGATGGCAGAACGGCCCTTCTCGCCATCCTTCTTTGCGGGAGCCGTTCTGCCTGGCCTAAGTGGGAAAGGCAAAGGAAGATCTTATGGAGGCGCTCTCTGGCTCTAGTTAAATGCTCCCTTGATTTTGGACAGTGAGTTTAGCTTTTTAGGTGTTTTTGTGTGTGCTGGCTGTGCAGGTGTGTTATGCTCATTTTGCAAATCAGGACACTAGGGCACAGAAGTTACATGATAAAGGAGTAGTAGGTGAAAAGACTGGATGCTCCGGCCTGGGGAAGTCGCTGAGAGATGGGGTTCACCTCTTGCTCAAACGCCTCCCTCGCGGAAGCACCGCTCTCGCAACCGCCTAGTCTTCCCACTCCGGAGAGACAAGAGCGAGTGGAGCGGGACTACACCTCCCAGCGGCCATTGCGGGATGTTGCCGCGCAGACTCACGGAGGCGGCGTGCATACCGCGGCTGCCGCGCGGCGGGCGGGGCGGACTACATTTCCCAGGGGGCCGGGG